AAACCCCACACCCCCAAACCCTACACCCCTAGACACCCAAACCCTAAATCCTGCGGTCCCCTAAACGCCCAAAGCCTAAATCCTACAAAACCCTCACTAAACTCCTCCAGCCCTAAACCACACGAGGAGGCTCCGGAAGAGTGGACTCCGCGCAGTCTTCGCCGTACACTCCAGCCAATAATGCCTCATCTGCAGGCTGTTGAATGGCATCGGGGAGCAGATGCCACATGGGCCCGCCAATCGGCAGCCGCTTGGTCAATCGGGGCAAGCTTTCGCTCTAATTAAGTAAAAGGGTTCAGCCACTTCATGCCCAGCCAAGGTCGATCCATGGGCCGCAGCCAGTCACGCCTCCCGAGGCATTCCTGCGACCGGCCCCCGGCACAGGGGAGCCGCGGCGGATGCCGGGGCAGTTTCGGTGGCCGCTTTGCAGCTCGGCGCGGTGGTCGTTCCCCTATCTCATGAGCCGGCTCTTGGGGCCGGTTTTGGCCATGATCAAGGGGGACGCTGTTGTGCTGAAAGCCGTGGTGTCTTCATGGTTGTGTTTAGCTGCTGTGGATGGTCCGGGTTGTGGGCAGTGGTGCACAAATACATGCATTTGTAGTGTGACCTTTGCGCTGCATGCAGCTTCACTTTGCAAACATTCCTACACACCCAAACACCAAGCCCTAAATCCTACAGCCCCCTCAAACCTACTGAACCCCTGCAAACGTAAACCCTAACCCCTACACCCCTAAACCGGAAAACACCCGTACACCCTAAACCCTATAAAGCCCTAAACCCTAAACCCCAACCCTAACCCCTAATTTAATCCCTAAGCCCCAAGCCTAAACCCTGAAACCTAATCCCTACACCCTTACACCCCTAAACCCTACAAACCCCAAAACCCTAAACCCCAAACCCTAAACCCTGAACCCTAAACGCCTACACCCCTAAACCCTATAAGCCCCTAAGCCCTAAACCCCAAACCACCCTGAACCCTTAACCCTAAACCCCAAACCTACACCCTGAACCCCTACAGCCCTATAAGCCCCTAAGCCCTAAACCCCAAACCACCCTGAACCCTTAACCCTAAGCCCCAAACCTACACCCTGAACCCCTACAGCCCTATAAGCCCCTAAAGCCCCAAAAGCGCTCAACGGCGGCCCAGGATCCCGCGGGTGGCCCAGGTTCCAGAGACTCCCTGGTTGGCTACCAAATCCGACTGGAGAAGAAGGCGCCCCACGGGGTGTATGTTTTTAAGGTTTAGGGTTTAGGGTTTAAGGTTCAGGGTTTAGGGTTTAGGGTACCAGAAGGCGCCCCATGGGGTGCAGGGGTTTGGGGTTTAAGGTTTACGGGTTTAGGGGTTTAGGGTCTAGGGTTTAAAGTTTAGGGTGTAGGGTTTAGCGTCTAGGTTTAGGGTTTAAGGTTTAGAGTTTAGGGTTTAAGGTTCAGGGTTTAGGGTTTAGGGTGTGTAATAGTTGGGGCTCCATAACGGGGTGTGGGGGTTTGGGTTAGGGCGCGAGTAGGATTTCATACAGAGGTCGGAATAGTTACTAGGTACTAGGTAATATAAGGGCTTAAATGGCTTAAATAATGAATTGGCAATACATTTTGTGGATGGTTTCTTATTGTTATAATTATAGTAGAATATACCTACATTAGGGCTTCGGGGGTTTTGGGATTGGATGTTCAGGGATGTGGGGTTCGGATGGTTTGGGGCCTTTCGGGGTTCAGGGTTAAGGGTTTTCGGGCTTTGGGCTTTGATTCGGCTTTGATCATAGGGAGTACGTTTTCCAGTGTAGAGTCTACGAGCTTGGGGATTTCGTATTGCGAGCTTCAACCCTAAACCCTAAACCCTAAACCCTAAACCCTAAACCCTAAACGGGTTGTTAAGG